GTGTGTGTGTGTGTGTGTGTGTGCGCATGTGCGCGTGTGTTTTAGATTTCACCACAACAGCCCCTGTTCCACCCTGATGAGTAAAACCCAAATCAAAGCAGCTTTACCTCTATTGCAGACGACGAAGCACACTTGCAATGAGCCAATCCAACAATGAAACAGTTTCACCACTTAGCAAGCAACACGGGGCATAATAGATCCGCTATATCCCTTTCTTAACTACCTTTGCTTTTCCTTTCTTTGGGGTACCCCTTTTATTTGTTCTTGCAACTCCCCTCTCATTGTGCCTCTCGAGTACAAGGCTGGCCACGTAGATTGTGATTTAGCTCCACCTGTCCCCATCCCCGTGTGCCTTAACGGCACACCTGCACGCCATGAAAGGAGGCAGCGTAAACAGGGAGGGGGAGGTATACTCCTGTTTTATTTTTCTTCAGAAGTTCAGCTTATAGTTTGTCTGTTCTCTTAATGATGCTCATTCATATGCATTTACTAGTACTACAGAAATGTGTGTGTGACATGCTGGGGCCTTCTGCACAGGGGTTGGGGGCTTGGACACGTCTTTGGGAGGCCCAGCGGCCTCCTGGGCCTATTTGAGAGGCCATAACACGGGCCCAGGTGAGTGAGTTGGGGTGTGTGAGGGTTTTGCTGGTCGCCAGCTCAGTGGTATAAACCACCAGTTCACCCAGACCTATCTTGACAAAGCTTAAACTGCATTTTGGCCGAGCCTAAAAATGACTGCTACCGATCTCTGGAAAACTGAAGGTGGAAACGGTCCCGCCTCTGGAAAAATAAAGGTGGAACTAGTACTGACCTTTCTGCGATTTGGACCTTCGGCCACTAGGTAAAATGAAAAACAGGCCTCTTTTTGTTTCTACTCTATTCCCGTTCCTCGCCAGGGAGGCCCAGCCACCTCCTGGGCCTCTTTGAAACCTACGACCGGCCGAGAGGGCCTTGGCCATAACACGGGCCTAGGTGAGTGAGTTGGGGTGTGTGAGGGTTTTGATGGTTGCCCTCCTGGGCCTCTAGGAGACCTACGACCGGCCGAGAGGAACTAGGCCATAACACGGGGCTAGGTGAGTGAGTTGGGGTGGGTGAGGGTTTTGCTGGTTGCCAGTTCAGTGGTATAAAGTTATAAACCACCAGTTCACCCAGACCTATTTCGACAAAGAGAAAACTGCATTTTGGCCGAGCCTAAAAATGACCAGTGGTCCGCTGCCAATCTCTGGAAAACTGAAGGTGGAACCGGTTCCAGCCTCTGGAAAAATGAAGGTGGAAGTAGTACTGGCCTTTCTGCGATATGGACCTTCGGCCACTAGGTGAAATGAAAAACAGGCCTCTTTTTCTGTTTCTCCTCTATTCCTGTTCCTCGCCTGAGAGGCCCAGCTGCCTCCTGCGCCTCTTTGAGACCTACGACCGGCAGAGACAGCCTTGGCCATAACACGGCCCTAGGTGAGTGAGTTGGGGTGTTACACGCCCAGTTGGGCGATGTACGTTTATAGCCAAGGATCCGCAATGTGATGAAAAGGTCTGAATGGACGATGCAGTGCTAGTAGAATCTCAACAAGCAGTGTACATCCTGATACATACAAAAATGGTGCTTTGTAGCGCAGTGGAAGACTTAGATATAAGTCCTGACCTGACCTGGACTGACCTCTCTCACATAGTACAAGACAGCGTAGCGGAATGCTAGAATACCAATGACTATCCCAATCAATGTCGCAATGCAGACCAAACATACATCATCCTCATCACAAGGTGTGAAGGGGCCTGGCGCTACAAACAGGAAGAATGCACCAGGTCCAGATCATGCACAGACGAAGAGGAGAGAATCAGACGAAGAAGAGGGGGGGGGAGATGGGAATGTCGTCAACACCAAGTGTGAAGGGGCCTGTCGCTACAAACAGGAAGAATGCG